TTAAAAAGAACTCGCAAGAAACTCAAAAGTTTAACTTTTTAATACTTGTACGTTTATGTACAAAATAATTTTATATTTGTATGGGTACTGTGTCTGTAATTAGTTTTGACTTCTATTTATATATATTATTCATTGTGAAATAAACAAATATGAGCAGACCAGTCTTCAAAAGCAGCACCTGTTCACAATTTCAGCCATACAGATTACAGATTACAGCCCTAATTTAATTCAGTTATTTTAGACAGATTTCTTCTCTAGAAATCTGTCTGATTCTAGAATAAGGGCATACGGGTATAAGACCCCGGCCTCCCGAGCTGCTGCAGTGTCCCAGTCTTTTTGGCAACTGCAGTGTCCCCCCCTCCTTTTCCATATAAGTCTCTTATTCCACTTATTTATTAATTTCCTTTTCGCATTTCAAACGTTCCCTTCCTTTATCCCTCAATCTTTTCCCCGATACCGTAGGTGGCGAAAACCACTACCAAATGCATTCCCAAAGAGGGTTGACGTCAGGCAGGCGGCCGGTCGTAAAACTAAGCTAAATCTTTTTGTAATATTGATAAAAAATATATTACACCGACCCCATATATTAATGGAGATAAATGTAAGAAGAAAAAGAAAGAATGTAATCGCTCATCAATGCGTTTTATACGTTTTACAATCAATACAGTAACATTATTATAGATTATTTAAAATAGAACTCAACAAAAAAGTAATTAAGCTTTGATGAAATTATCACAGAAACTCTCTCCAATTGAATTTCGTGACAAATCCGAACATTCAATCAATTTGTCTGTTTATAATTTGTACTGTTATTGGACATCTGCGGATTGTTTTAGAGTCGTGTCAATTATTCGTTTGTTTAAATTTTAAATATACTTACATTAGTATGTTTAAAAATTAATATTAATTATAAGTATATTAATTAATATAATTAATTAATATTTAATATTAATTATAAGTGTAAAAGTGAGTTTGTTTGTTACTTTATAAAACCTTAATGACTATCACTATGAAATTTGGTATACACGCATTATACGGGATGGAAAGAGATAGGCGGCTCACTCCCGGGAAAGTTGCAGAAAGCGGTGCTCTTAGATTCTGTCCGCATTGTACGCCGGCTTCTCTCCCTGGGGCCCTGAATCCAGGCCGACTGTGCTTCTGCCGGGGGTTAGTTTTCCATCTCCTCTCCTTAATAGGGGAGATGTGATTTTTATAAGAATTTAAAAAATAATAATAATAAAGTTTATTTTCTTCACAATACCAGTATTGCATCCATTATATTCTAATATATTTATTTTTTAATGACATATTATAATTCAGACACCAGTTCATCACAATATATATATATTGTGATGAACTGGTGTCTGAAGTAGGATAAACCAGATATGTTTAAAATGTTTCTAATATATTCAAATCACCTTTTTTAAAATAGACAAGCATTTTTAAATCGTAATTTTTTTTATGTATGCAGGGTTCGGACAGTTGTTACATGTTGAGACGAACCTACAAAAAAATCAACAGTTACTCTTTTAAATCTCTGTTTACATATACATATAGTATATATATATATATATATATATATATATATATATATATATATATATATATATATTAATTAAAATGTATTATATCTGAAATTAAATGGTCATTGGAAAGCCCGTGCATGATCGACTAACAATCACGTTTGTCATTCAAGTAATCGTTTAATGTGTATTAGGATTTATCCAATAAATGTTTCTTTCATAACAGTTTTAAATTTATTAAAAGGTTTTTCCAAAATATTCTTCGGAATCTTATTATAAGATTTAAGGCCTATTCCTATAAAATACTTATTAACCGAGTTTCTTGCGAACTTTTCTCAAAAGATAATAACTTTTTGAACCCTGAACTAGATTAAAAAAAAAAATACGAATTAAAATGCTTGTAAACAGTTCTATTTAAATTAAATTTATAAAATAATAATTTGAATTTGTTTATAAATAGAAATATTTCTGGAAAATATTATTTTAGGAGTGTGTCGGATTTTCCTAAACACATTTTCTAAGGTCAAGTATTTCTTTCTATTAATATAGAAAACATGAAAGTTTATAATAATGTTTGCATACATTTAATATACAAACAAACCATAAACTGGATTGAAATACATAACATCTAATTTGCATACTGAAACTGCGTAGAGATGTTGCATCTCTGTACATCTTCTACCGAATTAATCATGGGGAGTGCTCTGAAGAATTGTTCGGATTGATACCTGCTGCTGATTTTCATCATCGTACAACCCGCCATAAACTAAAATTTCATCCCAACCATCTGGACGAGTGGCGGTCCTCCACCATGCGTTTTTCAAGGCACTTTCTTCCACGCACAACCACTCTTTGGAATCAAATTCCAGCAGCAGTATTTCCGAACCGATACAACAACATAACCTTCAAGAAAAGAGCATATTCCTTTTTAAAAGGCCGGCAGCACACCTGCAATGCCATTGGTGTTGTGGGTGACCATGGGCGGCGGTAGTCACTTACCATCAAGTGAGCCGCATGCCCTGTGTTGTAAAAAAGAATTTCTACTACAACATAATTTATACTAATTCCAATGAGCAAATCAGCTACTTCTAAACAATTACTTCGATAAGTATACTTTTAAACATACGAGATACCTAAACAGATTTAAACTCGTCCATTTGTTTTTCTAAGGAAGGAAGGTCTGTTACCTTATGGCGTTAAACATCTTAATCATTCACTGTAATATTTGCTATAACCTTCAAAAAAAGAGCATATTCCTTTTTAAAAGGCCGGCAGCGCACCTGCAATGCCTTTGGTATGGAAGAAAGATTGTTAGTAATGAGGTCAATAGCTCTCTATTACTAGCAATACAACCTAACCTATTAGGTCGACCTGCACGTGGTTCCCCCTGGATACCACTATGGTGGAAACTGCGTGGAAACGCACGCAGTGGAAATCAATTGGTCACTATGGGCCAACTCACCTACCTTGATCCTCACCTGTACATATTTATATATATCATTAAAGCTAGTACGTAAAGAATTTACCCGAATAAGTTTAACTGCAACTAAGAATAAATATTTTTTTACTAACACCTCTTTTATTGATATCTTTCTATCGAGTCTATAAGAAATCAAAGTGCATAGCATATTTTCATTACTTATACATACCATATATATTTTTAGTTTTTTTATACAACTTAGAATGGCAAACAAGCTGACGGCCCACCTGATGGAAAGTGGCAACCGTCGCCCATAGACATGAGCAGCACCATGGACATAACAGAGTACCACTTCGCCCATAATATCCCCCATGCGTTGCCATTCCTAAGGACTCAGGTGCTATTCCTCCGTACCCAGTAAATTCACGCCATATTTCACCTTTCAAACCGAAACACAGCCATGCAAACACAGCTGCTTCACGGTTAAAACACGAGTGGGACAGAGGTGCCCAAACAAATAACTTTTGTACAAAGTCTCCCTCTGATAAATAGTTATGTATTAACTGTGAAATTTGCATGCAGAGTCTCCTCAGTTTTCTGTCTATTTTCTTAATAATTAGTTCTAAACTTGTGCAATTATCTATCCCTCTGCTAAGTTTGTAATTTATTCTTCAATTAAAGCTATTAACATTTATTACCATAATTCATTAGAAGTATTTAATTTGTTCAACAATTAAAGAACTTTATTTGACGCTACACACAACTAAATGGTGTACAAACACACACACGTACACTGAAATTGCGATTGGTGATTCGTTACTGACATTTAAGTAACTAATATAGTGTTACTAGCTGACTCGGCAAACGTTGTTTTACCATATACATTATTTGGAGAACTATACATGAAAATTTATCGTACTACAATTATTATATTCGATCGCCATCTTGCAAACATATTGCGGATTATAAAAATTGCGATTAAAAAACAGGAGTTGATTGTAAAAGCGTGAAAATTTGAAGTGGTGTATATTTTTCAATGCTAAATCATAGTAAAGTAAAAATAAAAAAAAAATCTCGAAAAAATAAAACATTTAGGGGTGGGTCACTCTTATCATTGAGGGGTATGAAAAATAGATGTTGGCTGATTCTCAGACATACCCTATATGCACACAAAATTTCATAAAAATCGGTAAAGCCGTTTCTGAGGAGTCTGGTAACAAACACCGTGACACGAGAATTTTATATATAAGATAGAATCACATATTTAGCCACATTGTTTTAATGGCATGCAAAATGGAAAAGTCTTATTTACTTGTGTACATTTCAGATATTTTCAGACCTTATACTAACAATATTTATTGTAATGCCAATAAAATAATCAAAAATCAAAATCATTTTGATACAAGTTCTTTTATGGAATAAAAACATTTCTCCTGAAGCCAACGTTTTTAATTGACTATCGTTTTAGTGTCATTGATTTTTACTTATATCTACTTAAAAATGCCAAAGAAATCTTTGTCGTGTTGATGTCATTCACCCTTGTCTCTTAAAAAACTGTATCTCCTCCAAAAATTATCCAATTTTAATAATTTTTCTACAGCGAGCTAAACAGCTACTGATTTCACGTGGTACTTTTAGTTACAATGTGAACGAGCGCAATGGCGCTCATCAGCGCTCAAACGGTTAAAATGATTTAGTGGTAGTTCCCGTATATATTTTGAAATTTTATTATATAACTTTATTGTCACCACTTTTTGGTCATCACATTACCACATTATTATAACTTTATGGTTACCACTTCCTTTCCCGTGGGTGTCGTAAGAGGTAACTAATCGAGGACGAAGGACGTACAGCAGCGTCCGTCTTAAAACATCTATAAAGCCTAACTGCGGTTTCCAATCCACCTGCTAAATGTAGCAACTACTGGCAAAACCCCCCAAGGGGGAGGCTTATGTTTAGCAGTGGACAGTTAAGGGCTAATAATAATAATAATTAGAATTAGAATTATTAAATGAATGTTCCAACTATTATTGTAACTATAGTTGTCTTTGTTACAGATCACCATAACTATGGAGGACTCAAACCTGACAAACATATTCAACATATCATCGCTGCGTATCCGCGAAGTGAGCACGACTACGGCGGCGGTGATCGTCCGCAACGCAACAGCGAACAATGCGTACGAGTGGCGGTTCATTCTGCCACCATACTTCCTGATATTCATGCTGTCCATATCGGGAAATTGCATGGTGATCGCCACACTGACAAGTAACAGACGAATGAGGACCGTCACCAATGTGTATTTACTTAATTTAGTAAGTGCTTACAATTAGGGTTCGGGAATACAGTAAAAGCTCCTTATTCACGCTTCCTTTATTCGCGGTTTAAAAAATTGCGACCCAATTCCTATATTCGCGTCTAGAGATTTCTTTATTCACGGAACTAATCGGTGCATATTAATAAAAAGGATTTGATGTCCTTTGTAAACGAGTAATAAAAATGTAAAACAGGCTTTATTACAACCACGCCTAAAGTATGTTGTCAAATGTTATTACCGCTGTATAAGCGGTTCGGTTTTACATATTCACGGTTTCTGTATTTCGCGAATATAGAAATATATTTACGGAACGTACACCTCGCGAATAAAGAACTTTTACTGTATAGCAATGTCCACGGTTCGTGTTGTAAAACAACGCTGTGTCGTCTCAAGCAGCTGCAGCAATATGCTGAGCAGTCATGTACGCATTTGTATATAACTGTGGATTTACACTTAAAATAAATTCCAATAGATCAATATTGGAATTGTGATGTTGACGCACCCTTGAATTGCGACACTAGCAACTAAATAGTTTCATATTGTTCTAATAGATACATATTAGTGTAATTTGCTAATACAAACTATTGGTAATTGATCCTAATTCTAACCTAATCTCTTGTCATTAGCAATAGATTGCATTGATATCGATAATAAATTCAAGAGTACACCTGCTGTTTATTTTATATATATATATATAGTATCGTATATATATAAATATATATATATAGTGTCCCTGACACTACAGCATAATACTGAATACGGACCATATTCGACCTCAGGTATTGCGACGCACGCACTTTTTTTCTTTTTTGTTTTATATTCTTTATTTATATATAAATATTTTGTGTGTAGTTTCGTTATTATATAATAATTAATATTAATATTTTTTATGCCATAAATAAAGTTTCTTCCTTTCTTTTATTTTTTTATTTTTTTTATTTATTTATTATATATATCAGTAAGTTGACAAAGTATATTTATTAAAACTGGTATAAGTGTTCATTAAAACTATTTGTTTTTTCTTGAAAAAAATTTTATTTTAACAAAAACTAAACAATAAATAAAATCAAATTTTCTAAAAAAATTACAACTCCTGTACTCGTATATAGTATAAAGTATATACATACCCATTATTATGTAGTGCTGTTGACTAGGGATGAGTAATATGTAGAAATATCTATATATTTTAGTTACAATATCTATAATCTGGTCCAATAACGAATATGTTAAAAATCTGGTGTCAAAAAAATAATATTAAATAACAGAGTTAACATATTAGAAAATAAATCTCCGACAAATATGGACGATATCGAAATGGGTGATAACCTTTTTTCTGCCATATATACTCGTAGGTATCGGAGAGGAACCCAATATATAAATATCAGATCGGTATCCATATTAGCCACGCCTACTGTTGACACAGATACAGGTTGTTTTATGATTTATATTTATATAACATTCCTTATCGTAAAATTATTATAAGAAAATATGTAAGAGTATTACAGGAAAAGATCTTATTACCAAGGATTATTATCATTTCATATTTCCTTTCAGGCAATATCAGATTTTCTTCTCGGAGTTTTCTGCCTTCCATTCACATTGGTCGGACAAATATACAGAAGATTCCTGTTTGGTGCTTTGATGTGCAAGTTAATACCATTTTTACAAGGTAAATATTATTCTTTATTGAATTCTAATAAAACTAAATGTAAAGACATTAAATTATTTAAGAATTATTTTTATTATTTTAATGGAAGAACAAGTTAATGTTTTTTGATGGGAAAATGTAAGTTTTTTTTTATACGACTTAGCAAACAAGCTGGCGGCTCACCTGATGGAAAGTGATAACCGTCGTCTATAGACATGAGCAGTACCATGGACATAACATAATAGTACACACACATACTGTTTCGCCCATGATACCCCCCATACGTTGCCATTTCTGAGGACTCAGGTGTTATTCCTCTGTACCCTGTAAATTCACGCCATATCCCACCCTTCAAACCGAAACACAGTCATGCAAATACAACTACTTTACGGCTGACCCACGAATGAGACCTCTGTCCCATTTGTGGTATCTCTGTACCCAAGCAAAAGAATTTTGTACAAACTCTCTCTCTGGTAAAAATATAAAATAAAAGAAGATAAAATATAAAAAAATGTTTTCGCAATGTGTGTCACAGAAACCCAAATATGATTAAATTACATAAATACACATGTATATATAACTAAAAATACATAAATATATGAATATGAATGTACTAACTGAATTATATATAACTAAATAATATAAATATACGAAGTAAAAACTCGTAACACGTGGAAAAAATCAAGGCAAATTAGAGAAATAGGTAATAAGATTTCGCATGGCTCTTGAACGAGGCAAGAGAGAAAATAAAACAAACATTATAAAAAACGTTTTTCTTTTATCCCTAAATGGAATACGTACATTATAATCTAGATAATATGTAAAATGTAAAACAAAATGTCTGTTTTAGATTATTTTTCGTATCCAATTTATCTTATCTGTTTGCACCTTCACTAGACGGTAAAAATATAATGCATGCAGGCACACGAAGGCAGGAAGATCGGTTACATAAATTTATTCAAATTTTCACACCTACCAATTATTGCCATCGTATACATATTAGGTAATATATAGTAATATCTATATATTTTAATTATAATATTTATATATTGGTCTAATAATAAATATATTAAATATCTGTCATTCAATATTTAATGTCAAAATGAAGAATCCAATTGAAATTAATGGGTGATGTACTTTTTTCCCGCCATCAATATCCAAAAGAACATATATATATTAGAGCAGTATCTAATTATTTATCACTTAAATCAGTATTTAAGTGATAAAAAATTAATATAAGATCAAATAAAAAGGCTTCATTTGTACATTTAAAAACAGTTTTTGTTTATTTTTCTACCGCCTAATTATTATTTTTGATCACTCGTATAGTAATATAATAATAGGACAATTGTTTAAAATTGAAATTTCTAATTGGTTTATTTTATTCGCTCTACTCTTAACAATTAAATTAAAATATGAATACTTAAAAAAACTGACATGCGTACTTTTAGAAGATGACTGACGATATACTCGTAAGAAAAAAAAAATAAACCTTTGTCAGGCCTGAAATAAATTGGAATAGGGAAAACATTTTATCTTTCTCTTGCTGATTGCCGTATCATCGCCGGCGTGACCCTTATCTTCGTTTCCCAAAAGAATTTTCATAGCAAATGTAGTGTACAATAAAACAAAAAACCTTTTGCCATAGATATATGTACCTTAGAATATATAGATAAAGTAGCTTTATAAAAATGCTTCACAAGAAACAGGTTAACTTTTTCATCTATGTGTGCGTGAATAGGGTTACCATAACGTACATTTACTTTTCAGTATATGGGAGAAATTATATTATAATATTAAGTTGACAAATAAAAATTACACAAAATTCTTACAAATATATTTGAAAGAACAATAAACAGAACGTAATGGTTAGTACATTATTACTCATCAGTTCTAAACTAGGCATGATCAGGCAGTATTAAAATAAACTTTTACTCTAATTAAATATATATTAATAACAAAACCACGTGATATTACTAGTTTTCCATTTTTGTAATCCCGGCATAGAATAGACCACTCCTTCCTTTTTCCGTGGACGTAGCAAGAGGCGACTAAGGGAACTTAATGGTAGAAGGATAAGCAGCAATATCCCTCTTAAAACATGTGTAAAAGCCTAACTGTGATTGTCAATACGCTTGCCAAGCGTGGCAACTACTGGCAAAACTCCTCTAATAGGGGAAGGCTTATATTTAGCAGTGGACAATTAACAGCTAAAATGATGATGATGATGATAATAATAATTAGTTTGATATAAATTTGTACAAATATCAGTAAAGTCACATTAGATCGTTAATCTTCATATATGTATATTTATACTTTCATATATTTTAATGGAAATAAATTGCAAGAGGATAAACGATAAATAACGATAAATGTACGTTTGTATACATAACATTTATCCCTTTCTCGGTAATAAAAATAGAATACTGCGTTTTAAAACGCGAATGATTACTGATGGGGAAATCTTTTTATTGACACGATTAATAACTTCGAACGAACGAACTTCAAGCTCTGCTGATCACGTTGATGACCACTTTTGTGATGCATAAGCCTGGATGCATCCTATTGTAATACACTGAGCGGTTTTTATAAAAGAAATTATTTATTTTCAGGGGATTATGGTATATATTAGGGGTTATTTTATATATATTCAAGTGCTTACTACATTATTATATTAGTATATTATAGATTACAATCTAAATTAATTATATTTAACTTAATAATAATAATGTCATATACAGTAAAAGCTCCTTATACACGCTTCCTTTATTCGCGTTTTCATTATTCGCGGTTTAAAAAATTGCGACCCAATTCCTATATTCGCGGCTAAAGATTTCTATATTCGCGGCTCTAATCGGTACATATTTTATCAAAGGATTCATTTATTTTTTTATTCAAGCATTCTAGTGCTTGATAGCCTGAATGAAGAGAAAATTAGATAAAAAGCCAGTGCAGTGGACAGAAGCACGAAGCAAGATATTTCTAGAAGATCGAAAACAATGGTTACTAACGTCACTGTGAAATGATTACAATTTAAATTAATTCTATTTAACTTAATAATAATAATATCATATACAGTAAAAGCTCCTTATTCACGCTTTCTATATTAGCGTTTTCACTATTCGTGGATTAAAAGATTACGACCCAATTCCTATATTCACAGCTCTAATCGGTACATGTCATTAAAAAGGATTATGTATCTTTCTTAAACGCGTCGGCAAATGGACTAATAAAATAGTAAAACAAACCATATCACAACTACGCCTAAAGTACGTTGACAAATGCTAACGCCATATTCGCGGCATATTTACGGAATGTAATAAAGAATAGCGAATAAAGAGCTTTTACTGTACTATATTTCACCGTGTGTGCTCCGATATAGACCATCCCTTCCTTTCTATGGTTGTCGAAAAAGGCAATTAAGGGAAGGCGAGGGATGGACAGCAGCGTCCCCCTCTAAAAGCCTAACTGCGGTTACCAACTCGCCTGCCAAACATGGCAGTTACTGGCAAAACTCCTCTTATGAAGAAAGCTTATGTCCAGCAGTGAGCAGTTAACGGCTGAAATAATAATAATTACTGATCCATCGTAACGAATTCACAAGGATGGTTTCCAGAAGTAACTGCATGGAAATCGACCCGATATTTCACTAGCAAAGGCTCTACCAGTCCATATTACTATTTCTCTCTACACAAGATGTTAGAACAATACATTTTCATTGATATAATAGAAAGTAAAAACAAAGGGCAAGAAAGGTCGTTGACTGGCGATTCCGTATAGACAAGTGCAATATAGGACGATCCCCTACTAAATGGAGCAATGACCTCAAATATATAGGATACAGGTAATGCAGAAAAGTTCATTATATTCCTTATTATTAATATAAATATGAAAGTGTGTTTGTTACCTTATAGCGCCTTAATGGCTTATGGTATACTACATATGGGGTGGAGACGTATATCTTCTTCTTCTTTCTTCGTATGTATTCTTCTACTTTTATCCTGGTCAAAAAACATATTCGGACGAATTCATGAATAAAAGCTTATATGATATATCTTTATATAATGATATTAACGTAGATTAAAAAAAAAAAAATAAAGCTTATTAGATATGGCTTAAATGTTTGCGTATTGGTCACAATTTATTACCTTGAACTTACTTTGTTTATTTTTTATGCCAAATTTATATGATTTATTCTCGTATTGACTCTATGGGTGTTTTCAAAGGAGATTCCTTCTGCGAACGTATAGTATATTTACTGTGGAATAAACTCCCTACTGACATTTTCTCTAGAGACTGCAGTATGGAGTTTTTCAAAAAGGCTGTATTAAAGTTTTTTCAGGATCATCAACACTAGAGATGTCACGTACACCTCTAGTGTTGCGGGCGTCCATATGCTACAGTGACCATTTAAAATCAGATGGATTTCATACTTCCCCGCCGTCTTTGTGGTTTGAAATATCAATTTTCTCAAGATTACATAAACAAGATTATATAAACCTACTTTATTTTCACTACACATATATTGATATAAATACACACACTATATATATATATATATACATATATATAATTTACTTTATCATGGCCCAAACTACCATCGAGTGTCTCTGCACAATTTCAAAGTTGAGAATGCACAGCTTGAGAGTGTATTGTATTAAGTCCGCCTTCTGAGCCAAACTTACTGGTCATGAAAGTTCAAATAAATGAATAAACTTATTTTGCTTGCCTCATGGTGCCAGCATAGAATGGGCTAACCCTTTCTTTCTCATTGGCATCGTAAGTGGCGATTAAAGGAACTTGGTCGACGGATGGACAGTAGAGTTCTTTTTAAAACATCACTAAAATCAATTCGCCTGCCAAGCGTGGCAACTAGTATAACCACCTTTATGAGGGAGGCCTATGTTCGATAGTGGACAGTTATTTATTTATTTACACTTTATTATACCATTTATAAAATAATAAATACATTTAAATAATAAATATATACACAAAGATATATATATATATATATATATATA